AGAGAGAGAGAGAGAGAGAGAGAGAGAGAGAGAGATCGCAAACATTCCGAGCGAAATGAGAATCAAGTAAAAAGAAGCAACAAATGGGTCGGCACTAAAAGTAACAAGGGGTCGGCCTTGACTGGAAGAAGGTGGACTGGATGGTTGTCATCTTGCACCGCCAGGTGATTCGCGGTGGTTTCACAGAACCTGGCTAGCTTCATCCAGATATTTTACTCTGTAATCTTCAGAGAGGCATGCACACAAGATTTCCCGTTGTCAACCATTCAGACGTGTGGTGTCGTTTCATTCTGGCATTGAAACGATTTTGATAAGTTTGCAGGGTCACGGGAGAGCGACAGCACGCACAACGACACGAGAGCTTTCTGACTTGTCGCATTGTGAAGTACTCAATTCATTGACCAGCAACCGCAACGAACGGCAAAACTGAGCCCTTGGTGACTTCTTGCCTGGATGAAGACATGGTGGGCAGCACCCCTGAGCAGGAGCGTTGTGTTACTTCTACGCTATCCTTGCTGAGAGTCCATACCTTCTTTGCCGTGTGTTTGTCTCCGACTCTCTCGAGGTCTGGATGCTGCATCATGTCTTCGATTATTTCAAGGCTAGCCGAACGGTAGAGGTTCAGAAGCTCCGCGAGCTCGCCACCACCTTGAGTTGTCGCAAAAACTCCAACGCTGTGCATTTTGAGCCAAACGTCCTGTCAATTCAATTCCATTGATCACAGCAGACGGGAAGTCTCCATCTGATCAACGAACGAACACACCGCAAAACGTCGGGTATTTACGCGCTTTCATGTAAATCTGCTCCTCGTGCCTTATTTGTTAAAGTTACACCTTTCGATAATTCAGCGCCGACTGGTCTAATGGTACCAGGTGCAACTTTATCGAACATGCCCCCCCTTCGGTTCCTCTATCCACAGCAGTAGCAGACCGGTAAAGGACGCACCAAGTTCACGCGCATTTGGTACCCTTACGTAAACACAGCATCTTAGGGTCGAAGAATGTCTGTTGAAACTGACTGTCTGGTGGAGCTTTGTATCCCCTCTGTATTTCGATTTTTAGTCGAGCCCACTGTTGTTGTTGAGCTGTGTCTCCAAACCCTATTGTGGTCTCTTGATTTGTCGACGACAACAACGGTCTGAACGTGGTCCTTGACAATATTATTCGTACCCACGGCAAGGTAGTCCCCGGCGTACGCATAGGATGAGCTTCGATACAGGGATTACAAGGACAGGAGAGAAGGAGCAACATATGAACGAGGGATCACCTACCTGTAATATATCGTCGCGCCTCGCAACCTTAGCTGCGAATTCTTTTCTCTCGCCGCTACCTAGCTCGGCCGTAGCGGGTTTGTCCGATTCCGAGTCCATTGATGCCCCTATGTTACTGGTAGAGGCCATCTTGCGTTCCTTCGCTCTTCTTCTGGCAGGTGCTCTGCTTATTTGAGTGCACGATCGGAGCTCCTTGCTCGGGCGCAGAGGCGGTTGACGGGTGGCCATGAGCCCTCCGCCGTCTTTATGCCGCAGTGCTGCGCCGGCCAGGCACGGCAGAGCTATCTGTCCTCGTAATGCTTGGGGAGGGGTTGTTGCAGTACGCCCTCCGGAGGACTGCGGTCGCTGCGAAGACGCCCTTGTCTTGTTTTTGTTGTTGGAAGCCGCTGAAGGTTGCCTCAAGTCGATTAGTGACTGCGTCCCGTTGATCGAGGCCTCGCGTTGCATTTGATTGAAGTTCCGAGCAATCGCCTGCATTTGATTTTGGAATTTTGCAAGCGGTACGGCGTATGCATTCAAGATTTAAAGATGATCTTCGTAGTAGCTGACGGCAGGTGACAGCAGAGCCGGGTATGCTATATACATGCATGCGTACTACTGTATGCTATACTCCTTTACGTATGACCTTTGTATTGCCTTCGGCCTCTGTGCTGTGTTTCTTGTTTTCATGACCTCCCTGCCTACTCTGCTGTGTTGGGTACCTTGATCTCGCTTTTGCTGTTGCCTTTGTTTTTGTACGTCTGGCTGTCTGCCCATCTGCCGCCTCTTTGTCCTGTTTGCTCCGTTACTCCCATGCCCTGGTGCGTAGTGCCTGGTGCTGGTACGTTACCCTTTGATTGTTTTCTTTGGGCGGGTGTGGGAAGCGTCCTCCTATATTTTGTTTTTGTTTTAGTCTATTTTGACCGGTTTCCGAGGGCTCTTTCCTCGAACGGTCGGTGCGATACCTGTTCTTTTCTTTCTATCATTTTGTTTTCTTTTTCCGAGTGGTTTGTACCCCATTTTTGTTTTGTTTCCCCGCGGC